TGAGCACATCATCATTGTGACATTCATTGACCGAACTATGCGGACTATAAATCCATGTACAATTTCCATCGGACCATTCAAATTGGTTTTGCTCATCTTGTAAGAAATGCTCCTTTGCCTGGCGGAATGCTTTTGATGCTTTTTCAAAGGCATCTCGTTGAGCGTCATTGATTGTGATAGGTGGAGTTGGCAACGAATTGGAGATCGATGCCAGTTCTTGGAAAATGGCACTTATTGTAGTCAGTTCTGGAACGTTCGGTATTAATAATTGACGAATTGACTCTAATCGACATTCGAGGTCATTAATGGTCCATGGATGATGGTTTGGATAGCCGAAAGCACAATCGAATGTGTCCATTAGATACATTTTCAGCTGTTTTTCCAAACTTGTAGAGTTGGCAGCACTTTTAATAATGTCATTGAGTTTATCGCGAGCTTGTTGATGAGGAAGTTCATCATGCTCATGTCGAGGATCCATCTGTGTCAGTAACCAGAAAAGAATCGCACAAACCCCAGATGCATCAATCGTTAAACTTAATCTTTTGACATTCGTTTGCGGTGCATGATACCATTTTCGTGTTGATGATACGATTGTCGCATCTGTTCTGGTTGATACAATCACAGTCTGACTGAAATTCAACAAGGTCAATTGAGCTTGATTGATCGATGTACTTTTTAAATCCCATTCGATCATAATATTTTCAGGCGACAAATTCTGATGAAAAATGCCTCTGCTATGCATCTGTTGTAGGATTCTTACTAAATTCAGAGATAGTTGAATGGCTGCTGAAACTTCAAGGACACCTTGACATCTTCGTTCGATGAATTCTTTTAATGAATATCCAGGAGCACGTTTCATAATCATCCATAGATTGGCTTTTTCAACGCGTCGTTGAGTAAGATTGTTCGATGTATTCTCTGGTTCAATCAATTGACTGACACCTTTCACATCTGCAATAGAGAATAATTAATATAGATATGGATCGTCAGTACTTTTCTTGACATTCACCTTACCTTTTAGATCTTTCATTACAGTTACTTCTTGATACAAGTCCGTCGAGGATTGATTTGGATAGATCTTGATTACGGCTAGACGTTTTCGATCTGCTTTGCCACGTATTAATAATACTTTTCCATCGCTATTTAACGCGCGTCTTGTTATTTCCCATTCATCTACCGGTACATCGCTTGGTAACTCATCTATAACAAGAAACAATAGTCTAGAAGCTGGGTACATCTGTCGTACAGAGGAACTTACATTTCGTTTCAACCAATGTTGAGATACTTTCTGATGAACTTGCATGGTGCAAGCTAGTCCTCGATGGAGTTCGAGTAATACTATTAACAGCTTGGCGAAAAATGCGACGGTCTCTATCCATTTCTCGATTGTCGAATGTTATCGACAAATTATTGTCAGTATCTCCGAGATCAGATGTTTCTTGACTGCTTTGGACACTACAAGCATCTCGTGGGCGACTGCGGGCACGGTTACGTTTCAACTCTCCATCAATCGATGCTGGTCGTGATCGAGAGCGTTGACGGTGAGCAAGCGGGATTGGATTGAGTTCTAATTGACATTTGATTAGTTGACCATCAATGTTCTTATTATGCCATTTGGTCATTAACTGTTTAGCATATTTCATGGTTTTGATTTTGACCACGTAACCAATACGATCATGTTGTCGATCGACATAATAGTTGTTTGGACCGAACCGTTTATTGAGATTTTGTGGTGTGACTTCCGTTTTAAAACCAGCGATTTTGATTCGATAGTCAGTGCTTTTCGCTAGAAGAAATAATAAAATGAAGAATAGGCTTTTCCTGTAATTGTTGCTAAATCGAAATGCAGTTAGTGTGAAATGTCGTGTGGGCAACAAGTATACAGTTTTCTATCTTTATCCATTTTCAAGATCCTAATTCTGTATTTTATGAACTGAAAATCTGACTTACTATTCGGAGAATCGTGTACTGTCTTCATTCCTATTGAATGACCGTAAGGACAAATCAATGAACAAGTACCCTTTGCCGTACAAGATATATGTTCCCAATGACATTCGTCACTACTTTTTTCACATTGACCAAATTGAAATTTATTACAGAATTCTATTTCATCTTCTTCTTTCTCACATTGAATGATTGATCCTCGGATGCTTCGTCCGTTCCTGCTTTGAACAAAATTGTCCACTTCTCTTTCATCATTGGCATTTTTCAGCCAACACTGTGTTGATAATGCTCGATCATTGATGGACGGATCCATTACAATATCATAAATATCCCAATCGAATTCTTGTGATAATGTTTCAACATCTATATTCGCCGGTAAATTTGTAATATGAATGAGATATTTTTTTGCAGGTAGACTAAGACATGATACTTGTTCATCTGAATAGAAAACAGAGAGAAGACTTGAATTCAAGATAAAAGGCATAGATCTACTCATGGTCACTTGTTTCAAATTGGATTTCTTTGGTCCTACTTCAGTGTTATTCTTATCAATCTTTGGTGTCGGTTCTGGTGTAGGTGAACTTCTACGAAAGTAATTGCGATTATCTTTCTTAACATTAACATCGATTCCTTCAATACGATGTGGAGAATGCAAAAGAACTCGGTCGACTGAATCATAACTGAATCGAAACAAACATTAATTCGACAAATTCATTCTATTCTAGTACTTACTAATCAAAACGAATGACCCATGTATTGTCTTCATTTTTCATATGACTAATATTACATATTTTACCATATTTAGAAAAGTAGCTGTTGATATCTGATTCGACCAATGATTGATTTTTTGGACTGGAAACAATCAATTGTTGAATTGCTTTATTATCTTTCAGTGATCCTTGATTTGGAACCGACCGATGAATAAAAACTTCTTTGCCATCTATTTGATGGTAACGTCGTAACATCACATCATTAACACTTTCTTCACTCTGAAACATGACAATGCCATGCATTTTATTTTTCCCTTAAAAAATAAACACACTATTTTCTTTCATCGACATTTCTTTACTTCATTGATGAAATACTGTATCTAAGCCTTTTTTCTTATCAATTAGAAATTATGTTGCAATTTTACCTGAATCATCAAGTGGAACTCTACACCAGTCAATCAGATACTTCGAGAAATAATTCTCCAATGATCGTTTTGTTGTGTCAGGACTTATATTTTGAATAAATATTTTTCTTTTGTGTTGGTCAAGATTCGCTTCTGACATATTCTATATGAATGAAGATCAAAATATCAAGTGGATGTGAACATTTTTTCTTCAGTCATCTATAAGTTGTATTACTTACATTTGTTGCCATTTTATAGAGATTATCACAGATTTTAAGATTGTTTGAACCTTCTATATCTAGAATTACGAGTGACACTTTTATTTTCTTTGTACTTTCTAAAAAGAACGCAAAACAAACTTGAAAAAATTTCTTTTTTTTCGAGTTGTAAAGGAAGGAGCTGAATTTCGTATGCTGTTCTATAAAGAAAAAGTAAAAAGAAAGTGGAAGAAACCCATATGTTCGACTGCGATCAAATTGTAACGCAGCTACGCGTAACTACGAATTTTTTACCGTAACTGCGCGCCACTGACATATTTTTTCGCAGTTACGCGTAACTGCATCGCAGTCGATCGCAGTCGAATACATAGATTTTTACTGCGATCAATGCGCCGCAGTTACGCACAGTTGCGCGCAACTGCGACGCAGAATTGGCTTTACGCATAACTGCGACGCAGTTGTTAAAAAAGTGGCGATATGGGAAATAAAATAAAAATCAAACGAAGCAAAACAAATTAAACACTGGGGTTGCACAGCTCACGCTGACGAGCGCCGATATGAGCATGAACATTTTTTCTGTCTCGACTAGAAGAGAGAAGTTACAGTTATTCGCCAGTTACATTATCAAGTAATTAGAAATGGAAACTTTGCGAGTTTACTAAAAGGAAAGACAATTTTCTAAAAATAACGATTTTTTATAAAGTTTGACCGAAGATAGTTGGGGTCGAGGAATCCGAATCTGTAATCAGTTTCTCGAAGCCTGACTTTGACTTCTTTTAAAAAAGCTTTTTTTAGTAAAAAAATCATCAGTTGTTTTTGGAAAAAAGGTTTTTGGTAAAAAATCAAACTAAAAATTCGTGAAACCGGTTTCAGATTCGGATTTCTTGATCTCGATTTCCTTTGGTCAAACTTTATAAAAAATCGTTATTTTTAGAAAATTGCTTTTCCTTCTAATAAACTCGCAAAGTTTCCATTGCTAATTACTTAATAACGTAATTGGCGAGTCAATGTAACTTCTCTTCTCTAGTAGAGACAGGAAAAACGTTCTTGGTCATGTCAGCACTCATGAGAGTGAGCTCTGCAGCCCCAGTGTTTAATGTGTTTTGCTTTGTTTGATTTTTCTTTTACTTTCTGCCACTTTCTTTTTACTTTCCTTTCTTTTTAGAAAGAAATTGCAAGCGCCATCCCTATCTAGAATGCTAAACAGAAAAATTTTCCCGATTCAATGTTGAAGAAAATACCGGATGAAATACACCCTGTAATGAGATTTTACCGTCAAAGAAAAATAAAAGTGAATGTTTTTTACAAACCGTTATGCAACAATTTTTTTTTGCTTTTCGGAAGAAAAGCTCTTACAGAACGATTGCTTCATAGAACAGTGAATCTTTCTTTTCAAACGTTGTCCATATATAGGATCATAAGGTTGGAAATATCCAAGCGAACTGGGAAAAACATGAAAAAGAAAAAACTTTTGAAAATTTCAACACAAACAGAACGATTGAGCAATATATGAATCGAAGAAAAAACAAATCTTAAGATTTTTCTTAGATTTCATCTGGATGCAATAGAAGAACGAAAGAAAGAATAGAGAATATTACACAATATCACGTCACACTACAATTTGAGTAACACAGTTCCATTTCCTCGAGCAAAAGAAAGAAAAAAAACAGCTATTTTAACAAATGATTTTTCTTTATTTCAAATTCTTTTTCTCTTTCTAAAATTTTATGTCTATATTATTTGTCTATTAAAACTGATCTCGGTTTTCTTATTACACTGTTTTTCTAAAGTTCATTCTAAATCCCATGGTGTAATGATAGAAGACTTTTAAACGTTATTTGAATCTAGATTATGAATAATCTTTCAATCTTGATCAACCCAAGAGATTATTTTGAATAACTGACGTAACATATGAATCAATCTTGTGCTTGTTGTTTAAGCATATATGTCACATGTTGTACTGTCATACACAAATACACTATGCTATCATTAGAATCTAATGGAAGCAACTTTCTCTTTATACAATTCAGAAGTTTCGAATGAATTTATCGCTACCGACAACGTGTTTGTGTCAACATCATCATTATGCAAGCTTGACAATTCTTACATAACGAATCGAATAAAGATTGAATCATAGTAGTGAAAAGAGACTATTTGACTGAACACATGCCATAGAAGATTACTTAAAAGAAAAAAAACACAAGTTAAGCAAAATGATTGACAAAATCGGTTAAGATCGTCTACATAGTGTTCTTCAAAAATGTATGCAACGACGGTATATATAGAACAACTTCTGAAACTTAGATCCATATGAAACAGGACATACCTCTCCTTTAGTTTTGAAGAAGGCAAATAAGGAAAGTGAAAAATATAGCGTAAGGAAAAAGAGAATAAGCCCTTTATTCTCAAAGATACAATGTTTGACTCAGTGTGAAATAGACCTAACACTTTAACTTTGATTTAAGAGTTAAAGTTAAATTACTCGCTTCAACTTTAAAATCAAAGTTAAAGTAAAGTATCTTGTCTTTTAGTTTTTATATTTTCCCCTTCAACGATAATCCTTGATAATTTTTAGTTGCATCCATACTGTATAGAGGTCATTTAGTCGAAAGATGAATGAAACTTAAAGAGAATAAATCTGAAAAATAGGGATTTTTACCGATTAAGGTTTTTTGATTAGCTTTGCTTGACCATTCTGCGGGTTTCCTCAACTTTAAAAGCCTATACTTCATTGAATATGAAAAAATGGGAAAATCGACTCACTTTAACTGTAATGGTGAAGCTAATAAAGTAAATACTTAATTTTATCTCTAATGTTAAAATGTCATATTTATTTTGAGCCGAACATTTTCATCTGTAGGCAGAGCACAAAACAAATTCTTTGATATTTCAATGTCTAAAAGTCAGTTCGAACGACAGATGTAAGGAAAAAGTCAGTGAACAATATATTTTCTTACACAAGATTTGAATGTGGTTTTGAAAAAGCGTAGCATGAGTGCTGTTGCCTATATATTTTCGGCAAATCATGTTTCGGTTTCTTTTCACTTTATCATCATTTAAGAAGAGAACACTACTTAGTTAGAAGGAAGAAAGAACAAAAAAATGGCCTTGAAAATAAAGCCGTCACAGGAAAATATTGATAGAATACGATATAGTTTGTCTGCATCAATGGAACTGTTCTCCTTCAATCTGAGTTTATGGTGCTTGAAAAACCATTCAGTTTAGACGCTACTGCTTTGAAATGTATTTTGGTTTAAACGAAAATCGTCAAACATGAATAATTTTCGACCAAATGCTGAAATGAATGAAAAACCAAAAGTTATTATGATACTTAACGAGTCAGTAAGCGCGCACATGAGCATGAGTGGCAGTTGTATATCTCTAGTTTATTTGTGTTTTTGTTGATTTGATCTATTGAAAAGTTATCATTAAGACAAGAAATCAGAAGAAATACCATTGAAAATGGATTGAAATGTTCCAGAAGAATCTGGTATATGCAAATGAGGCAAAATATCGTCTCACGAACCTTTGAACTAATAATACTGGACGCAATAACAAGTTAATTATGTAAGTGCTCACTCCACACTCTTAAAGCGGAGTCCACCAAGCCAAAAAAATCTTCACGTTTTTTAATTCACTGGTCGTTATCAACACAGAGATTGATAGTTAAGAATAGTTAGTTTTTCTTTCGTAATCACATACTTCTCGTTACGATTTTTGATGAGTATTTGACGTCCCATTGAAGACGCGAGGAGAAATGACATAAAGTAAATAAGTTAACAAAAAAGTTTCATTTTTCTCTTTTCCTTCTGCGGGAAGACATTGATGATAGAGAGTTGGCCACTCTCTTTCTTTATTGCATCCTCTTGCTTTTTCTTCCACTGTTTATTTTCTCTGACGATTATACAAATTTCGTTGAGATTAGACAAAGCAATCATATAAAACAGTAGGCACCATGCAGCGCAACTCTCAGGTTCAATTTGTCTTTCCCATTCTGAGATAAGCAATCGCTACAAAAATCTGCAGCCATCCTGTTGAACAGACAAAAACATATTCTATAAAGTCGAAGAGAAAAGGGTGTGAGTGTGTATGGCTATGAATCTGTTTTTCACACTCACACTCAAAATATTTTTCATAAGAGAAAAAATTGAATTCTTCCATTGTACTCAGTCAATACGCTAAAATAAAACGTATCGTGAGTTCATTCATTTTTGTATATCTGTTTTTCTACATTATTTTTCGGTTAGCCATTACAGAGATGCCTGGATCCTTCGATCTCATCGTCTTGTCTTGAAAATAATAATTCAAATTAAAACTGAAAACTAGTAACTATTCGATTTTCTATTAAATTGAATGACAAATGTACCAAATGGTAGATTTAAAATATGTTTTCGTAATACGTCACAGGTTCCGTGCGAGATCTTTTTAATTAAAATGTCTGCATAATATTTTTGATTACATCGTGGCGAAAAGGGTGTGAATCAAAAGAATCCTAGTATCCACTCCCTACCTATACTCCCATTCCAATTTTATTTTATATATAGTTTTTTAAACTCTATTTTAGGTATGTTTATAGATTGTAGCGCTGAGTTAAGAAAATCCACAAAAAAAAATAATAATAGTTTGAAAAGAATTCAGGCCATAGGAAGATTGCAATGGCGAGCCAATAGGATTGAGTTTTGTTAAAACATTGAAATTCCATACTTTACCAACACCATTGGCGGGCCGGGCCATAATTTTCAGGGGGGGCAATAAGCACTTTTTCGATTAAAAACGCTTGTTTTCATGGCGTTCTTCTTAAGTCCCAGCCAAAAAATTTTTTTTAGGGGGGCAATTGCCCCCTCTCGCCCCTATGCCGGCCCGCCCATGACCAACACCGAATCATATTAGTTCGGTATTACGATACTCCTCTTATTTCGGTGAATTCTCTTAAAAAGTGTCTACAATTGTTGTACATTACATCGTTATTCATTAGTGTGAACAACGTCAATTTGATTTGTACATGAATGTTAATTCGCCTCTTGAAAGTGGATTAAATGAAATTAAATTTTCGATCAATTAGTTTGCTTAATTCGATATGAAATTGTTTAGTCTAGAGAAAGTCTTGAAACTTGTCATTAGTCTCATGCATATTTGAGTTGATTATCAAGGCATTGACGGTTTCATTCTGTCACATTCATTTATGCTTTCATCTGATAACTCCAATCGAATAGTATCGGAAGAAAAGAAAAACGATATATTTTATATAACTTCAGACTAGAATGCTTTTCAATTTTCTTATTGAAAAAATTCTTCTAAAAAAATAACAACGATTTTTTTTTCGCAAAAAAAGCATTTATATCTTACTAGAAATTTTTGAATTATTTAGGTCATACTACAAAAATATGAATAGAAGATTTAGATGTGGTCGTTTGGCCTTAACTAAAGATGGTATTGTAAAAAAACTTGCACTTGAAGATGGTGGTGGCAGTCGTTTTTGTAATTGGGATCCAATCGATATGGATTTTGATAGTGTTCATCGTAGTCTTATTGACATTTTTAAATTAGGTAAGACGAAAAAAATTTCAATAATTTAATATTTTAATTTTTCTTGATTAATATTAAAGGAGATAGTAAACTAAAAACATCATTATATGATTTTCGACTTCAGCCGTTAGATGTTAGTCAATATAACACATTTTTCGAATATGTTCATAAGAATGGACTTAATCGTTACAGCACCATTATTTATATTTGTACATATCATGGTATATTCAATTATATTCTCATTAAATATTCATATTACTTTTCCTTTCTTTTTTGCTCTTTTAGTTGATAATAATGATAATCAAAGGATGATTGTGAAGAAAAAGAAAGAAACACCTGTAATTTCACCATCATCATCATCATCAATATCAAATTCATTAAATTCACAACAAAAGTGATATAAATTTTGAATAATATTTTTTATGAATTTGTTTCTTTTATTAGAATATCTATTGTAGCAGAAGCTACATCTTCAACATCTATTGAAAATAAACATATTGATAAGAATGAAAGCGGATCTGGTCAACAAGCAACTTATCAGTAAGATATTTATCTTGCTTGTATATTGAATTAAAAGAATATTTTCTAGATCTGATGGTAATTAATTAATAACTATGAATTTATCTAATAAAGCTCTTTAGTATTTAGTGTATTCATTTGAAAAATTCAATAATGATTTAGTGAATAATAGTCGAACGTTCATTAGTCAACATGGTTTTGATCCAATTTTAATTCAACTATTTGAAAACATTTGTATTATTGACGGTTATGTTCGTTCAAGTATTCATCCATTAAACCAACAAATAGAACATTTGATTCAAAATCTTCAATTACATAATCAATCGGAAATTGAATTGTATTCANGAATGATTGACCCTCGGATGCTTCGTCCGTTCCTGCTTTGAACAAAATTGTCTACTTCTCTTTCATCATTGGCATTTTTCAGCCAACACTGTGTTGATAATGCTCGATCATTGATGGACGAATCCATAACAATATCATAAATATCCCAATCAAATTCTTGTGATAATGTTTCAGCATCTATATTCGCCGGTAAATTTGTAATATGAATGCGATATTTTTTTGCAGGTAGACTAAGACATGATACTTGCTCATCTGAATAGAAAATAGATAGAAGACTTGAATTTGAGATAAAAGGCATAGATCTACTTATGATCACTTGTTTCAAATTGGATTTCTTTGGTCCTACTTCAGTGTTATTCTTATCAGTCGTTGGTGTCGGTTCTGCTGTAGACGAACTTCTACGAAAGTAATTTCGATTATCTTTCTTAACATTAACATCGATTCCTTCAATACAATGTGGAGAATGCAAAAGAACTCGGTCGACTGAATCATAACTGAATCGAAACAAACATTAATTCGACAAATTCATTCTATTCTAATTAGTACTTACTAATCAAAATGAATGACCCATGTATTGTCTTCATTTTTCATATGACTAATATTACATATTTTACCATATTTAGAAAAGTAGCTGTTGAAATCTGATTCGACCAATGATTGATTTTTTTGACTGGAAACAATCAATTGTTGAATTGCTTGATTATCTTTCAGTGATCCTTGATTTGGAACCGATCGATGAATAAAAACTTCTTTGCCATCTATTTCATGGTAACGTCGTGACATCACATCATTAACACTTTCTTCACTATGAAACATGACAATGCCATGCATTTTATTTTTACCTTAAAAAATAAACACAATATTTTCTTTCATCGACATTTCTTGACTTCATTGATGAAATATTGTATCTAAGCCTTTTTTCTTATCAATTAGAAATTATGTTGCAATCTTACCTGAATCATCAAGTGGAACTGTACACCAGTCAACCAGATACTTTGAGAAATAATTCTCTAATGATCGTTTTGTTGTGTCAGGACTTAGCTTTTGAATAAATATTTTCCTTTTGTGTTGGTCAAGATTCGCTTCTGACATATTCTATATGAATGAAGATCAAAATATCGAGTGGATGTGAAAATTTTTTCTTCACAGTCATCCATAAGTTGTATTACTTACATTTGTTGCCATTTTATAGAGATTATCACAGATTGTAAGATTGTTTGTACCTTCTATATCTAGAATTACGAGTGACACTTTTATTTTCTTTGTACTTTCTAAAAGGAATGGAAAAGAAACTTGAAAAAATTTCTTGCTTGTCGTGTTCTAAAGGAAGGAACTGAATTTCCTATGCTATTCTATAAAGAAAAAGTAAAAAGAATGTGGAATAAAATAAAATAATAATCAAACAAAGCAAAACAAATTAAACACTGGGACTTTACAGCTCACGCTCATGACCCTGACATGAGCATGAGCGTTTTTCGTGTCTCAACTAGAGGAGAGAAGTTACAGTTACTCACCAATTACGTGATCAAGTAATTAGTAATGGAAACTTCGCGAGTTTATCATAAGGAAAAGCAATTTTCTAAAAATAACGATTTTTTTTATAAAGTTTGACCGAAAGTAATTGGGGTCGACGAATCTGAATCTGTAATCAGTTTCTCGAAGTTTGAGTTTCACTTCTTTTACAATAGCTTTTTTTAGTAAAAAAAAATCATTTTTTTTTGGAAAAATGTTTTTTTGGTAAAACTGAAACTCAAACACAAAATTTCGGGAAACTGGTTTCAGATTCGGATTTCTCGATCCCGATTGCCTTAGGTCAAGCTTTACAGAAAATCGTTATTTTCAAAAAATACCCTTTTGCATAACCATAAAAATCAGACTCTAGATTTCGAAAAACTAATTACAGATTCGAATTCCTCGACCCCAATTACTTTCGGTCAAACTTTATAAAAAGTCGTTATTTTTAGAAAATTGCTTTTCCTTTTGATAAACTCGCAACGTTTCCATTACTAATTACTTGACAACGTACTTGGCGAGTAAATGTAACTTCTCTCTTCTAGTCGAGACAGGAAAAACGCTCGTGCTCATGTCAGCGATCATGAGCGTCAGCTGTACAGCCCTAATGTATAATGTGTTTCGCTTTGTTTGAGTTTTATTTTACTTACTTCCACTTTCTTTTACTTTCTTTCACTCTCCTTTACTTTCTTTCCGTTTCTTTTTGCTTTGTGTTTGACTTTTATTTTATTTTATGTTACTTTACTTTCTTTTTAGAAAGACATTGAAAGTGCCATCACAATCTAGAATAAAAAACAGAACAATTTTCTGATTCAATGTTGAAGAAAATAGCGAATGAAATACGCTCTGTAATGAGATTTTACCATCAAAGAGAAATGAAAAGTGAGTGTTTTTTTTTACAAATCGTTGTGCGACAAATTTTTTTTTGCTTTCCGGAAGGAAAGCTCTTACAGAATGAATCGTTCTGAACGATTGCTTCATAGAACAATGAATCTTTCTTTTCAAACATTGTCCATATATATTAAATCATAAGATTAGAAATATCCCAACGAACTGGAAAAAACATGAAGAAGAAAAAACTTTAAAATTTTAACACAAACAGAACGATTGAGCAATATATGAATCGAAATAAAAAACAAATCTTAAGATTATTGGTAGATTTCATCTGGATGCGATAGGAGAAGGAAAGAAAGAATAGAGAATATTGCACAATACCACGTCACACTAGAATCTGAGTATCACAGTTGCCTTTCCTCAAACAAATGAAGAAAAAAAAATCAGCTATTTTAACAATTGATTTTTCGTTATTTCAAATTCTTTTTCTCTTTCTAAAATTTTATGTCTGCCTTATTTGTCTATAAAAACTGATCTCGGTTTTCTTATTACACTGTTTTTGTAAAGTTTATTCTAAATTCCATGATGTAATGAGAGAAGACTTTTAAACGTTATTTGAATCCAGATTATTAATAATCTCTCAATCTTGATCAACCCAAGAGATGGTTTTGAATAGCTGACGTCACATATGAATCAATCTTGTGATTGTTGTTGAAGCATATATGCAGGGCTGACAAATCTCCTGATTTTTAGACTTTTCTCCTGGTGAAAAGATCTCCTGAATCCAGGAGCTGGTTTTTATGATTTTCTCCTGGTTTCTCCTGGTTTTTTAAAGGATTTTGTCACGTTGAATTGTAGTGATATTTTCAATCAATAAGACCAGAGATGGGCAACTCCAGCTATGTGCAACTCCAACTCCGACCAACTCTACTCCATTTTTCTAAATCCCCACTCCAACTCTAACTCCAACTCCGAATAGTGCCACTCCAACTCCACACAACTCCGCTCCATTTTTCTAAAATCCCACTCCAACTCCGTCCAACTCCGCTCCATTTTTCTAAAATTTCACTCCAACTCCAACCCAAACTCGGAATAATGCCGCTCCAACTCCACACAACTCCGCTCCATTTTTCTAAAAACCCACTCCAACTCCAAATCCGACTCCTCGGCTATTTTCGCCACTCCACTCCAGCTCCAACTCCAACTCCGACTCCATTTCAACTCCAACCGAATTTTTTTTTAAATCTGGCTGCAATACTGACTGTAAAAAGTCGTCTCCTATCTGATCTTATCTTGAGAAGTTGTACTCCTTT